AAAGAGAAAGAAAAGAAAAAAAAAAAAGTGTGATGTTTATATCCATTTTCTGAAAGAGAAACTGCCCTGGAGAAGGTGAGTAATTTGCCCTATATCACAGCTCATTCTTTTGGACCTCGAAGTACCCTGGGAGCCAGGACCTATTGGGTTGATTTTACTCAAACAGCCTCTCCGTGCTTCTGAACATGGCGTATGAAGGTGCTTGGCTCAGGTCATTTTAGTGATGTAAGACCAGAACTTTGATAAAACGTGGCACAGGAGACTGTGGTAGTCTGTAGGAGAAACTGACTGACGCACTGGGTTAGGGAAGGCTTCCAGGAAGAGGAGAAGGGACACCAGAGCTGGTTGCTTTTTGGCAGCCTGACTCAGGAGAAGCTGAGCAATGTCAGAGTCCCCCTTCTGCCCTCAGGCTGCAGTTTTCTAGGGAAGGGGGGAAAGAACGAACTAGCTCATGGGAACTGGAAACTGACAGTATGCCAACCGCTCTAATCTATTTTACCCTCAGAACAACCCTGGGAGGTAGGCACTGTTTCAAACCCCATTTATAGATGAGGAAGCCAAGAAGTGAGTTGACTTTACCTAAAGTTAACGGGACAGCTGGGGTTCAAGGCCTGTTTTTTCTGGCTCCAGAGTCTGGGTCCTTTCCACACATTAGTTACCACCACCAAGTGCGAGTGGCATCTATTCTTGGATGAATGACCAAGGATGTTAGCAGAAATTGTCCTTTACTCTCTGGCTTGTGCCCATTTGGTGCTCTTCCACGTTTAACTTCCTAACCCTCTCTCCTCAGTGAGGCTCCAGGCTTAATGACCCTCATTCACTTCTTCAACACATATTTATTGAGCTCTTCCTATTTCCCAGATCTCCCCTGGGTTATGGAAATACCATGGTAAATAAGATAGGGCTCATGTCTCCCTCAAGAAACTTTCAGTATGGGGTAGAAAGAGGCAGACAAAAAAAATGTGTATACACACCACTTAGAAATGATTAAGATGGTAAATTTTGTTATGTGTATTTTACCACATAAACAATTGGAAAATAAATAATAATTAAAGAGCATAATGTGCCTTGTACTCTGAAGCAAATAAACAGGGCACTGTAACAGGGACAACAGGGGTGGGGGACCTTCTGTTTTAGGAATTCCAGAATTAGATGGTCCTTCCCTTTTTGGAATTCTTTTAGGTGGCCAAGGAGACCAAGACACTGACTAGTTAGAGACTTCACTATTCATAATGTCAGGCTTTATACTGATGCTTCAACCTTCTCTGTCAAGTGGGATCCTTCAACCTTTGGAGCAAGTGGGGCCTATACTGGACTCATTCACTGCACATGGGGCTGCACTGGTCCCCTGCAGCTACAGCCTACAAACCCAGCCAGAGAAGAGGAAGTTTTCAGCCCCTTTCGTTAGTTCCTTCTGCCCTGTCACAGTCTTCTTTTACCTTATATCCACACTGATAAACTTTCCCTAATTGTTAAAGAAATAAATATATTTGCAGATGTTACATGTTCTTCTTTCCCGGTGCAGATGGACCAATTTTCTCTTGGGAGAAATACGGGGACCTTGGTGTATCTGGATTGAAAATAATAATCACAGTGTAGAAATCCCACTACTTACCCTGAGAAGGAAGAATCATAATATAGCTGTGTCAGTGGGTCTCAGAGTCCAATTAGTAGAGGTTCTTACAGACTTTAATAATACTGAGGTCAGGGAATGAACCCTAAGATGAATGCCATTTAAAATGAGACTTGGAAGAAACCAGACAGGTGAAGTACTGAGTGGGAGGGAGCAATGTGTTCCAGGAAGAGGAATTGCAAGTGCAAAGGTCCTGGGGTGAGATAGAACTTGGAAAGTTCTAGAAACAAGAAAAAGCCAGAATGGCTGAAAACTGTGAGATGAGTGAGAATTTTGGATTTTATTCTGTATGGATTTTATTCTGATACCATTTTAAGGATTTAAGCAGGAAATTAATTTAAGATCATGTCAGTTGCTAGCTGAAGAATGGGTGAGGGATGGATAGAACAGAAGCAGATATACCAGTTAGGATGCTATTGCAGGTTGTAGGAGGAAAACACAAGCTTTTCTTTAGAAAACAAAAATATAATTAGAAAATGATCTTCCATTTTAATAAAGGAATTGGGGTTTTTTTTTTCCTGTAAAATACTTTTCTGGCTAGATCGATCTATTAAGCTAAGACAGTGGTTCTTAAAGTGTGGTCCCTGTACCAGCAGCATTGTCATTACCTGAGAATTTGTTAGAAATGCAAATTCTCAGGCACACCCCAGAAAAACCAAATGAGAGACTGTGGGGATGAGGCTCAGCATTCTGTGTTTTTATGAAGCTCTCCAGGTGATTCTGATGCATACTCTTGTTTGAGAAGCACTGGGCTAAGAGTCCCAAGCAAATATTTTTTATTTGCATTCTGGTGCAACCCACATAAGGAAGGCTCTTCTTTCGATATTTGTAAAACATTATTTATATAATTACATAAGTCACAAAACAATAACCAGTGTGAAAGCTAATTATAAAGGTTCTAGTTCAGAGCACCTGGTTGGCACAGTTGGTTAAGTGTCCAACTCTTGATTTCAGCTCAGGTCATGATCTCACAGTTCGTGAGATCTGCACTGACAGAGCAAAACCTGCTTGGGATCCTCCCTCTCCCTCTTTTACTGTCCCTCCCCCTCCCGTGTTCTCTGTCTCTCTAAAAATAAATCAATAAACATTTTTCAAAAAATGCAAAAATAAAGGTTATAGTTTCAGTAATATGTAGACTTAATCCTGGAAACCTTCCTGGTGAAAAACATCTTGAAATGCTAAATAACAATGATCTCTTTGAACATATAGCTGACTCATGAAAAAGTAAGGGAAATTCCCAGGGGCTAAAATTGAAAGAGTTAAAGAAAGCAGGGTCACCTGGGTGGCTCAGTATTTTAGTTCCCTCTCAACTCCGTTCATGTATCCCATAAATATTTTTTAAATGATTTTAAGTCCCCATTCTCATAGGTCTTATGTTTAGTGTAGGTCGCTGGTGTATTCCAGACAGGATAGAGTGGCAGCTTTGCCCAGGTAGGCGACAAGAGGGAGGTCACAATGTGTACGTTGTGATGACATCTATGGAGTAACTGGTGGCATGGAGAACCCCACTGAGAGCTAAGCCTTCCTCCTGTGGGGAGGATACGGGACCCGCCATAAGTTATCTCTCTGTCCCTGCATCTGCCATCCTAGGGCCAGCCAGAGTCCTCTTTGGAGGTGAGCAAATGGATATGGAGGCGGGAGATGATAGACTGGGAGGAGGTGTGGTGTGGAGGGTTGAGGAGCCACGGGGGCCAATGGAACAGAGAGATGCTGGAGCCTCAGTTCCTACTTCTTCTCAGTCCCGGGTAGAGAAGTCAGTCTGCTGCCTGCCACGAGACTCGTCATCTGGGCTGAACATGAAGCACTTGTGGCAGATTTTTGTCCTGTGGGGCTTCTGGGTGCTCATCTTGTGGCTGATGGCCCCCTGCCTGGATCCAAAACCTGAATCGGCACCCCAGGGAAAACTGATGGTCTTGGGACTGGGGCACTGCAACTGCCCTTGGTTCAAATTTAGGAAGAGTGGCTGCCCATCTGAAACACTAAACTCCTCCCTCTGCTACCACAGAGTTGGAGAACGGGGCTGGTATGCTGAATGCTATGAGAAGATGATAGAGTACCTGAAGAGGGCAACAGAGTCCAGGACTCCTCATGCTGTGCTCTGGTGGCTGGCTAGTGGTCAACCCTGGGCCTGGTCCCTTGCCTTGTCCTTCCAAAGCCTAGCCTATATCCCACATTCCCACCAAACCCCTGCCCTCCTTAGTGCACCTCTAACCTTTTTTTTTGTTAAGTTTATTTATTTATTTTGAGAGAGAGCACAAGCTTGAGTGGGTGAGGGGTAGAGAGAGAGGAGAGAAAAAATCCCAAGAAGGCTCTGCACTGACAGTACAGAGTCTGATGTGGGGCTCAAACCTACGAACCATGAGATCATGACCTGAGCCAAAATCAAGAGCCAGACGCTTAACTGACCGAGCCACCCAGATGCCCCACACTTCTCATCTTCACAACCTCAACCCCTGACCGCCAGTTCTGGGATCTCACCCTCCGGATCTGCTTTCTTTCCACTAGAGCTGATACCCAGGTCCCAACCCCCAATCTCCTCCCTTCTGCTGTTTCTAGGACATGAACTCAGCAAGTGGTTTTGGCAAAATGTGGAAAAAGGTGTTCAAGGGGATTCCCAGACTCTCAGTGAGCCATTTCCATTTCTACTGTGGGACTTGTACTTTGGTGGAGAACTCCAAGATCCTGCGGGCCTCCGGCCTTGGCAACAATATCAACCAGTGGACCCTAGCCTTCGGGTGTGTGCTGGGGAGAGGGCAGGACGTGGGAAGGTCAAGGGTGTCCTCAGAGTTCTGGCAGTTCCTGCTCTCTTTTCCAGAATGAACCAGGGCCCTGTCCAGAGCATTGAAAAGGTGGGGAACCAAACCATAGGATGCTTCATCTATCCTGGGAATGCCAGCAGCCAGGGCTCTTGGAGACAGCTGCTGCTTCTGCTGCTGCTGCTGCTGAAGCTTTCTGGTCTGGTGTGGGCTTCAGATGCTCCAAGTGAGGAGGTGATGGTCTGGGACTCCAAATGTTCTTAGTTTGGGGATGAGGGGAGGTCATTGCAGGGGAGGACAGAGGAGCTCCAGGGACACCCTCTGCTGGCTAATTAGGGACATCTGCAGAATCTCCCCAGGTCTCAGCCTGCTGAACCTCCCCCCACTTCCTAATTCTCTTAGATTTTGGAAGGTGGTCCAGTTCCCTAGTGGAATGGAAGACAGCAAAGACCCAGTAAGGGTATGGGAGGGAGTAAGATGTGGCTGTGGGGTGCTGTGGGAAGGGGTCCAGTTCAGCCCCCTCTCCCTTTTTTCCCCACCTCCTGGTGATCAGCCCCACCTTCCTTAGGTATAACAAAGGCAGCTGGCTGGATGACCAGGGCCAGTATGCCTTCCTGGGGGTCATGGCTCTGTCTGTGCCTTGCGCATCTGTGACCAGGTTAGGAAAGCGTCTTGTCCATTTCTCACACAAGACTTCTCTCCTCCATACCTTCAGCATAGAGTCTAAAAATTTCTACCTGGCTTTCAAGATTGTGTATAATCTGACCCCTCCCCTCCCTTCTTCTCTCCCAGGCTCACACAATGGGCTTCTTGGTGTTCCCTGAATACCAGCTGCCTTCTGCCTTTTCACACACTGCTGCCTTTTCCTGGGATACCCTTCTCTTGTGTCCCTGGGGAATCCTCTCTTCCTCCAATATGATGAGGAGCAGCTAGTTGATACTCTGTTTTCTGGACTCAGGGGACCCCTCTGTGTGTTCAGAGTGTGTCTTCCCTGGAGAATATGAGCTCTGTTCTCCCAGCTCCAGGAGGCAGTCTTTCACACTTGATGTTGAATGAGGGGAGCTGGGACAAAGACAGGATTCAGCTTACTGACACATACATTCCTCTCTCATTCACCAGGATGCCTACTTTGGATTTGGATCAGAAAAGCAAAGAAAGGGGTGCAATGACTGTTAATCAGACCAATGATTACAAGGAGATTTTGTCCATACAGAGCATGGAAGCAGAAATGGAAGTCAGGTACAGTGTGTTGGGCAAGCTCACTGTCCACACGTGACACCCTGCAGAGTTCATGCAAGTCCTAGTCCTTTGGACCTCAACAAAGCAGGTTGTTGGGATGACAGCAGCAGCAGCGGGGGTAACAGGCAAAAAGAAATTATATGGAGACCAGTCTGGTGCTGAATAAAATTCTGGTCGTGTCTGTTGCCTACGAGGACAATGTCAGGGAAGGATATCTTGATATCCAGATCTCAGGGGCAATATTTTCCTTAATTTTTGTCTGATCCCATGTCATGCGAGGTGGTGTACATTTAGACCCAAGCTCACACAAAGTGCAAGGCCAGACTGAGTTCTTGGGGGAAGCTCTTTTCCTACCTGATGAAGAGATAAGGCTTAGTGTTTCATCCTATGCTGGGGGTGGGTTTTTTCTTTTTTAATTTTCTTTTTTCTTTTTTAAAATTTATATCCAAATTAGTTAGCATATAGTGCAACAATGATTTCAGGAGTAGATTCCTTAGTGACCCTTACCCATTTAGC